ATCACGTGATCAAAAACTTTTTCTCGGACATTTTAATTTCCTCAGACAGCTGGTTTAAACGCGAAACAATACATACGTGAGCCTAGGCCTAGATGTCTATGCTTGGTGATAGATATCCAGATTTACACGAGCAGTGTGCATTAGTGACTTGGCCTTTGCCGACAAGGTTGACTGAATGCGGCTTTTCCCTCTTCCTTTGGGAGCGAAATACAGAGGTTTTTACAACAATTTCCCCTCCATATTCCATGAAATAGATTAACACTATGAATATATGATTCATTTGCATACCGCCTACCCTGATTTCTCTTTCTTAAAGAAGGTTGATAGCAAAGAAAATCTTCGCCAACTCGGTAAGTCCAGCCGCCATTGTCTGAGGGCGTGTTTCTGCTGAATAACGCCAAAAACACGTGTTTTGTTTTTTTTTATAAACGGTTAAATTCCTCCTGAACGCGTTTCTAATTCAACTAATAAAAACACTGTAATCAGGCCCGTAGCCGGGTCATTTCAAGGGGGGGTTCTCTGGGCGTGGTGTCCCAACCGGGGGGGGGGGGTGCCCCGACGAGGGGCCAGATTCCCCCACGAAAGCAAAGTGGGCGTGGTCGAGCTTCAATTAATAGGTTCCAAAAGTGGTCCTGGGGGTGAAGTCCCCGAAAATTTTGACAATTCAGGGGTTTCAAAGGCTTATTAAATCGATATTAGAGATACAATTTAGAAATACAATTTCTACAATATTATTCTTGTTTTTATGTAGATAAATGTTCGATAAATTCTTTCTTTCATAATCTTTCTTATCAATGGAGTTTGTAAACGTGCACGGACGTCATCGTCGAATCCCAGGACTTCCGACGGTAAAGCTGGCCTGCCTGCCTAGGTCCGTCCCAGGCCAACCAATAATAATTAACAAAATGTATTTTTTTAAATATAGGCCTATGGCGCATCCTGTACATGCACTTCAACTTCAACAAAAGCCTAGGCCTAGTAGGCCTACAACGTTTCATGATTCTTTATCACTAAACATTAACAAACACTCGTTTTGACGCACTCCGTTCTGTAGCGTGTCTGCTGTTTAAAACAAACTTCCTAGCCTAATTTTGAGGCTGGCTATGATGACTGAGATGGACTATGTTGATTTATTAATAATATTTTGTTTGGGATGAAAAAATTGGAGAGTCCATTTCCCCAAAATGCTCCATCAGCACATAGTTTAGTGTGCGCGATGGACAGTATGGCTATGGAATTTACTAACCACACAATCCACATTTAGGTGATTAAGTCGAAAAACTTTATTTGCATTTGGTTGATTAAGTCGCAAAACTTTAGCTTCGTTTGGTGGCACCATTTACTCTAGGTAGACGGCGACCGGTTTCGTTACCGGTTGGTACATTTCTTACAAACATTCAGCCAAAGGCCAGTGAAAGTTGAGACGGCAGCCGTGTTTTTATCGATGTTTGCCATCCTTATGTGTGCCATCGTAAAGGAATTGCGTTTTAATTTAAATTTCCGAACTTCTGAAGCTGACATATTTTATAATTGTAGGCTTGTAATGCAGGCTACAATTTAAAAACGGGTGGGACTTATTCAAAAATTCGAGGGGGTTCGCTAGAAAACAGGGGGGGTTCGCTAGAAAAAGGGGGTTCGCCGAACCATAAACCCCCCACCTCCCTGGCTACGGGCCTGGTAACCATCTAATTTATTTTCAAATCCTCATTCTTGAAAGTGAAATTCTATATTTTGGAAATTTTGCATGCAATCTGTCAACCACGTTGTCATGGTCGCGGTTGCTTCACCTATCACGATGTATTCCAACCATCATGAGGCTATCTAAATGAGCATTTGTCATAACAGAACGCAAATTATTTTTAATTAGTCTCATTGAATTACTATTATTATTATTATTATTATTGTTATTGTGGTGGTTGTTGTGATGAAAAGTTAACACAAACGATATGGTGGCTAAACGAATATTACATGTAAATATTTTTTTTTATTTGTTTGTTCCCCAACAAAATTTATCGTCTTCCCCGACATGGGGGGGCTATGCTTCCCCCCGTCGGGGGGGGGGGTCATAGCCCCCCAGCTCCCCCTCTGGCGCCACCCCTGGGCGAAGCCACGACCATTTTGGCAATTTAGGGGTTTCAAAGGCTTATTTAATCGATTTTAGTGTCTACTCATGTGTACAAAATACATTCTTGAAATGACAATAAAAAATATTTCTGTAAGAACGTTTACTAGTCATAGGGGCATACTGTATAGAAAAAATGATTAGATTATTACTCTTAAAAAAAAAAATATGAGGGAGGAAGGGAGGGAGGACGGTTTTTTTTATTTATTTTTTTTTTTAATTTTTTTTTAATAGGAACAATAAAAACTGTTTATATTTGTTCTGTAATAGTAAATATTGTACAAAAACTGGTTTAAATTCATAGTTTTTTTTTTAAAGAAAATGTATTTTGAAGTCACAAAATTGCTTTGTTATTTAAAAAAACAAAATTTCTTTATTCCCGCATCAATATTTCCCTAATTTTTGACACGGGCGGGAGTGATAATCTAATAAATTTTTCTATTTGCCCTAAAGACAAAATAAACATAGTAAACAGTGACTTTTACTATATATCTATTATAAAATGAAATGAAAAATATACATACCAACCATACATCATTATATTCTTTTATGTTATATAAAATAAAACAAATATATTATTCAATCTATTAGGTATACAAATATTGAATTTTACAATAAAATTTTACAAATAATGCACAAAACTGATAATACTAATATTTTATTTTATTTATTTGAATGGGCGACTTTTGCAGATAAACAGAGGTCCACTGGTAAGATGTGGTTAAGTTATGGAAATTATGTGTAATTAGTCATGGAATTAGGACAGTATTTAAAATGAAATTTGTAAAATGGCAGTTAAAGCCTGTATATAAATATTAAATATATTAAACAATTACAATGGTAAGTATATCAATACAATTAGCTAAAGCTGTTAAGTTATATACTTATTATTATAACTGTTAAGCATATAAATTGTATAGTTAGCTGCTTTTACATACTTATAATTATGAATGTAAAGTATGTAAAGGCAATTAACTATATACTGCACATGATACAATAGATCATTTACAATAAACAAATAGTACTGAATATTATTAAGTAAAGTAGTAATAAATTTTAAATAGAAATAACTAATTATTGTAATGGTTTATATACTGTATTTATATATTTTCTGGTAAAAAAGTAGTAGGCAAATATGAACATAAAATTTAATTCATGCAATAGTAATTTATGAGGCTCTGTTCAATACTGCATATACTTTTAACTTATTTATGTAAACATTATGGTACAGTATAATATTTAATACACAACAGAAGTAATTCAGTAAGCAAATGTACATATTAATGTGTTAACTTACAGTATGTATTTAATCATTTATGATACAGTATAATATTTAATATCTTAATATGTAACTTATTTAATCATTAATAGTATATTATAATATTTAATACATACAGTATTAAATGAGTAGGCTTATGTACATATTCCTGTACAACCTATTTATTTAATCATTCATGGTACAGTATACCATTTAATATATACAGTAGTAGCAGAGTAGGCATGTACTTATTTATGTGTAACTTAATTACTTATTTTACAAAAAAGAAAGTGAGCTGAAATGAGGTTGTACAAAATTCTGAATACATAAGTTAACTAAAAAT